AGGCTAGAGATTCAAAACAAAATCATACATCTCATTGTGATGAGTTAGTTATCTTTCAGCTTCAGTTCTGATCTTAGCTGAGGGGCATGGGTGGAACCCTTAATTTCTTGGCACTTCTTTGTAATGGCACAAGCACTTTGCCTACATTGGGTGTTGTATCAGCTGCCTTCTGAGCAACTGACAAAGCTGCACAGTTCTGCACTCAGCAGGATCTTGATTAATAATTATGATAGAAGCACTTCTGTTGAGCTTAAGTGCTTTATTTCCACCTTCTAAGCCTTTCTTTGGGAAGGTCTGAAAAACTAAGTTGATGTAAATCTATCTTGATAAGCTTAAGGTGTCTGTCTTGTATTTTGGATAGGCATCAAGCACTTTGGAAAACATTTATCCTGCTGCTCCTAGAAGATCTCCTCTCCATCAGGAATCTGAATCTGAAATATCACTGTAACCTTCAACTGGAAGCCTTGGTGCATCAGTTGTGGTGCAGTTAAGGACAAAGCACCAGAGTAGCAAAACGCCTTGCAAAATCTTGTTGCTAATATCTGTGGAATTTTGCTATATTGATTTTGGAATCTTGTATCTTGGGAGAATAAGCCCCAATCGTGGTGTTTTGCAAGGCTTTCTCAGTAGCTGGACAGTGCTTTTTAGCCATCTAGGCCCAGTGGCTAAAAACAAAGACTAAGTGTGGGATATGTGTTCCTATGGAGATGTGGAGAGGGGTTTTGACAGGTAGGGATGCAGCCAGCAGTGTTTTCTATGTGTGAAGCTGGTGAGTTTTTCATTGTTTCAAGTGGAAAAATACCAAAGCTGTGAGATACTGATAACTGAGTAGTTAATGGCTAGAAATGTGTTTTTTTGGTTGTGTTTTTCTGTGTGTGTGTGTGTGTGTGTGTGTGTGTGTGTGTGTGTGTGTGAGAAGTCTCTTTGTAATCACTTGTGTGACTTCCTTCATGCAGTAGTAATGGGAGGATCTCTTTGCAGATGCATCTGTAGCTTTACCTTTTAACATGTTGGATTGTAAAGTGAGGTACAAGCAATAAAGCACTCGTTCTGTAGAGGAGGCTCTCAATTCGGGTGATCTGGGGAACCTTTCTGGGCATACCAGCTCTGCCTTGTGCAGTGCAGCATTTGTATTGCCCTCTTGTGGCAGATGCCCCAGTGCAGCTGGATTTGGGATTAAAGAATTTTGCAGCTTTTTCAATTCAGCAGCATCTCCAGTGAAACTGTGGCTTTGCTTGTCCAGAAGTGTGAGTTAGCATGAAAACCTGAAAGCAGAGCCGATGGGATGTAGGAAGTGAAACTGGTAGCTCAAGATATGTTATTGAAATGATGTTCCAAAAGACGTAATCTAGGATATAATTGTATCTCTCTAATTATTTGCAGTTAAACTTGCCTGAAGGTTTTGCGGTGTTTTACTGGTTATTAATGATTCCAGAAACTTGGTGGGGGGGGAACAAAATAGAGAACAAAGGCTTAAGAACTTGATAATCTGTGCTTTCAGCTCTGCATGCTTGCCATTTCCAACCAGCTAGCACTCTTGCTTTGCCAGGCATCATTGTTGGGGCTGGATCCCGCAGTCATTTCAAACAACCCTACACGAAAACCAGAATGTGACCTAAATTTGGGGCCATCAATGTAGGCAAGAATCTATTTCTGAATTAAACACAGTTGTCCTTCTTTCTGTATGGCGAGGGGAGGCTGTGTGTGTTCAGATATATGCCCAGCAGCAGACTCCCTTGGAGGGTGATGCCTTCCAGCTGTGCCCACCCTTGATGTCTTTGTTCTCACCAGCGCTCACCGGCATCAGCCTTGCTGGGCCAGAGCAGTTTTATTGCAGCAGGAGCTGCTGTACGGGTGGATTCCAGCGTGCGCCTTCCTGGGCCTGCTGCCCCTCTAATTGTTGTGCTGTCAGGAGGCGTGTGCCTCCAAAAGCCTTATCTGATTCCTCCAGAGGCCTTGCAAGCAATTCAGATGTTGACCCCTCGAGCGCACACAGCTCAGCTTTGGGGCATAGCTGGCAGGTTTAGCTCAAAGCCAGCAAGCTTGCTTTGTCACCGGGGCGAGAGCACCTGTCTGGGGGGGGGGATGAGGGGCCGGGGAAGGTGAAAAGCTGGTGGGACTCAAAGGGGAGAAGGGAAGGCCAACAGCTGATTGTGTCAACGCTGGGATAAATGCGAGGAGATTAATAGTTATTTAAAGAGCAAATGGGGACATGGCATTTGGCTGTGGCATGTGAGCATATAAATGTGGTGGAATGGCTGCTCTGCTGGTAACATTTAGACAGATGGTTCCTGGACTGAATGGAATGTAAAGGATCTTTGATTCTCATAAGGATATCTTGAATTTTAATGGGGTACTTTTTTTTTTTAATTGATGTCCAGGCAGCACCCTCAGCATTTCCTGATGGTGCTGTCTTGTTAACATCAGCTGGCTGTTTGGTCATCCTTCCCCACAGTTTTGAGTAGCTTGGGATTGGAAGGAACAGTCTAAGTGAAAGCTAAAGCACTATTGTTTTTCTGTCTGTCTGAGCTGCTGTAGGAGACTGTTTTCATCACAGTTGCCTTTTCATCATTGGACTGGTTAGGGAGTGTGTCTGATGCTAATCTCCATGAGAAATAAAACAACTGAGCAGTATTCTTGCTGTTGTGTTTTGTTTTTTTTTTGGGTTTTTTTTTTTTTTGGTTTTTTTTTTTTTTTGGTTTTTTTTTTGAGGAGTCTTTAGGTGTTGTTAGAATCAGGGGTGTGGGACTAATTTAGGGTAAATGATCCCAAAATCTGTTTTGCTGTTTATTTGTATGATGAAGAAGAAGGATGGAGAGGTTGGGTTTCTTGTGTATAGAGATAGATAGATAGATAGATAGATAGATAGATAGATATTTTTTTTTAACTGAATGCAAAAAACATTGACCAACAAAAAGAATGTTCCTGGCACTGTGTATCAGCATCCAGCTCCAGCAAAAACACAGTCTGTTAAATAGGTCTTGGTTGTTGGATTGCCTGTGCAGGTAAGATGTAACGGTCATCTGCTTTGCTGAAGCTGCAATCTCTCCTTTGAGAGGAAGATCCAGTCTGGGTTGTTGCCTCCTGTGACAGCTACTTAGCGTGCTTTGAGCCCAGTTGTGGGCTCAGCCATCTAACACAAGTACTGGGTCAGCCACTGTCTTCTCTTCTGCTGCAGATGGGGAAACTGAGGCAGCAAGGGTAAATTACTAACCTGAGGCAACAAAGTCGCTGCTTCACCCAGGATTAGGGCTCAATATGTAATTGCTTTTATTACTCTGCTGCCTGAAGGCCTTAGTCAAAGTGAAGGCCCATTAAGTGGAGTGCTTTTTACATAGTAAGGAGCAATCCTTGCCCTGCAGACCTTGCAGCCTGAAGTAGGCCATGGGTGGAGGGGGAGGCAAAGTGACTTGTGTAAGGACACCGTGTGCTGCTGGCAGGGCAAGGGAGAGATCCAGCCATCCTTCCTTTGCTTGGTCTCTCTGCAGACCATCCCATAATGAGTTCCCTACGTTGTTCCCTACCAGATCTTTTCCTTCTCCTAGTAGCAAGCTGTACCCTTTGTGGTAGGTCCTGCATGCCTCACTGAAGACCCAAGAACACCAGTCTCGCCTTGGGCCTTTAATTAAAGGCTCAATGGTATAGCAGCCTTTTCCAGGGATATTGAGCAAGGAAGAGTTCTGTGGTGGCTTTACCACCTTCTTTTGAAAGGGACAGCTGAGAGCGTACAGTTCCTGAGCACAGGGAGGGCATTTATCCTTGGAAGGGAACCAGTCTGTTCTTCCATGATTGAAATGACTGGAGAAACAGGAGGTTGTGTGCCTTGTCCATAGTCTGTGGGGAGTTCAGTAGATAGCCTTTCATTCCCTTATTCCCTTACAGATCATGATGAGCAGTGATGTGGTACTTAAAGCTGTGTGTGAACCAGAATCCTGCCTGTGATACTTTCTTGTCCTTGTGTTTCACAGTCTTAGAATTGATGTTCAAGGAAACTTAGCACTTTTTTTCTTTTCTTTCAAGGAATTTATCCACTTTTATCATACTTCGTTTCACTTCTCCTTCCTTTGTCAGAAGGATCCTGGTTTACTGAATTGTTAGATTGCAGGAGGGCATTGAATGGGTTTGCTCATTCTTGTTGCCCTTCTCTGAATTTTTTTCCCCCCTCTCAACTCTTGGAGGTGCGGAACAAGGGCTGTGTATAGTCTTTAGGACATCTGACTTCTCTGCCAAACTCTCTGATCTAACCTCTGTATTTCTGTACTTTGTCCTGTAGCCTTCTTTTTTGATGTTTTATTTGTCATTTGTAGCTGGAGGATACTTCTGGGGCACAACAGTGTCTGCTTAAGTGCTGTGTGGTGTGCAGCTGCTGATGCTGTAGGCACGCTGGGAAATGTTGCATGCAGTGAGCTGCTCCTGCTTGGCATGATACCTTCAGTTCCTCTGTGCTGCTGTCTGACTGTTTTCTGGCTACAAGCATGCTTTGAAGGCTGTGCACCTTTGCCAATGGCGTAGCCATGCAGTTACCACTTGATACAGGTGTCCAAAATGTCAATATGCGTGGTGGGATCTGATCTACAAGGAGCAGTCTTTAGGTAGAACATGAGACAATGTAGCCTTGTGCATGATACAGCTGGTTTCACTGTAACAAAACGATGGTTTGTATCAGGTACTAGCCTTCCCTCCACCTGGTCTGGGTTTGGGTGTTGTTAGGCACAGGGTTCCTGCCCCCTGTGATGGCTCGCTGCCCTGTGAATCACCTCTTCATTGTGTGCATGGTGTGTCTTTTTTTTCCAGCTCTGTTCCATACTGTTGATCTACTGTGTGGCTGCATGAAGCTTTACCTCTTTGTCTTTCAGTCACTGATGGAAAATGGAGTATCTTCTCTGCAAATACCCTTCCTTATTGAATGACACGCACAGGGTGGTGCTGAGATCATGATGTCCACGCTGCATCAAGCTGGTCCTTGCTAACGTTCCTTCTGTGCATTTCTTTGCCTCTAGCCGCAGTACACGAACCTGGGGCTCCTAAACAGCATGGACCAGCAGATTCAGAATGGCTCTTCCTCTACCAGCCCCTACAACACGGAGCACGCGCAGAACAGCGTCACGGCCCCTTCGCCTTATGCCCAGCCCAGCTCCACTTTTGATGCCCTCTCGCCCTCCCCAGCCATCCCTTCCAACACAGACTACCCAGGACCTCACAGCTTCGATGTATCATTTCAACAGTCCAGCACAGCAAAGTCTGCAACGTGGACGGTAAGGATGCAGCACAGCCTCGCTCCTTCGTTGGCTTCAGTCCTGTGGCCAATGGTGACACTGCTGTTCTGATACATATCCAGGCTTGTGCAAGAACAGAGTGACCTGTGTCCTCTTAAGTGCATGACATGTCACACAGAAGGGAGAGATTTATCTTGGCTGCTCTGGGAGGGTGTGGTGGGAATTGAACCCTCAGTAATATTACTAAATCCCAGGTGAATAAAATGCCTCACAAAAAGACAGTCACTTAAAGACTGTGTGATGAAACAGTGTCTCTCTTATTTAAGTGTAGCATATTGAAGTTAAAACCTGGGATGGGCATAAAGATGGCTTCAGAGTTTGCCATGGCATCCTTCATCCATGGGTATGTGTTAGGTTCCATGTGCGGGGCTGTGCCAGTAGGACAGAGGTACAGGATGGAGGTGGTTTGCCCTGATCAACTATTAATATTTTTCTAAACTTAAAAATTTTCCTTAGCTGTGTGTCCCGGTGTGGTTTAGGGCTCTAGAGTAGAGATTCTTTAAGATAGCAATATTCTCCATTGCTAAGATGTTCAGTATTTGTCTTCCACTACTTCAAGCACTCCAAATCAGTGCAGTGAATAAACCCCTGTGTGGTGAGTGAGGAGAATTAGGTAAATTGAACCTTGGTCCTCTGAATAACACTAGAGTTAGATGCCTAAATCAGGTATTACCAGTAACCCCTGCTGTGCTTGGTAATTAAGGAAATCAGATTTGAATCCCCAGTGGAGGGAACCAATTTATTTTTATTTTGTTTTATTTTTTTGTCCCTTCAGATGTACCTATTGATTCTTCTAGCAGCAGGTCAAATCTCAGCTTCCATCATAGTATGATTTGTCTTACTTTTCTTCACTCAAAGCTGTTTTGAGTATCTCACTTTATGGTGCCTTTATTTAATGATATCAGATTATCCAACACTTGTTTTCCGTCTTTAAAACTACACAAACAAAAGCAGTGAGTTGCAGGGATTTTTAATTTAAAATGCTTTTTGGTTTTTTTTGTTTGTTTGTTTTCTGTTTTTTTTGTTTTTTTTTTCTTTTTTTACCACATTCGCTTTTCTTCCTTTCCATATTTAGTCCAAGGAACTCCTTTGGTCTCAGAGTAAATACAGTCTAGAAACTGCAACTGGCCACTGCTGGTAGGAAACACTGTAACCTGCATGCTTCCTATTGGACAGATGGGAAGAGATGTTGTGTAATAATGAATCAGTACAAAATTGCATCTTTCATATGTAAAAGTTCTTTTTAAGTAAACTTTTGTCTAAAACTGGTAACGATACCTTTGTTTTAAGGGTATGTTTCACAGAGTTGAAATGCTTTGTCTGGTCAAGGGCAATTTATTTATTTCTTTATGGATGAATCTGTGGAAGTCCATGTGAGATTGAAATGCATCTTTTTTTATCTGTACTGGCTGTGATGTCTTGCTGTAGTTCATGCTTTTCATGTCCAGGTTTCTCCACTTGCACTACACTATTTATTTTCATTCCCCTTTTAAGTAAGGAAATTGTCAGGTCTGCTTTCCATTTCTCAGGGCAAGAAAATGCTGCCCTTGGATTTTTGCAGGCTGCTGTGGAGAGGGTCCTTTGAGAGAGATATGAAAAGACATTCTCTTTTGATAAATATAGTACAAAGAATTATCTAACGCAGCTGCAGGGAACAGGAGTGTTTGATGCTATCCTTTCAACTATGAAAAGTGGTCTTTTGAAATGAGTTTTGAACGTCAGTGGTAGGCTGTTCCAGAAGAGCTGAAGACGAGCTGCTCGCAAGCGTGAGGTTGAGCAAGCACTTGAGAGAATTCACTGCAATGACAGCAGCTCTTGGGGGTAGAAGCGAGGCTGAGATTTAACGTGGATCTAGGTAGTAGTCAGATCAGATTGCATGGTGGTCGCTTTTTTTTCTTTCCTTGGGGGCAGGCATTTTCCATTTTCTTCATCCACAACGTGAACTGTGCGACAGGCACATGTGTTGCCTGTAGCTGTTGCAGTCTGTGGCACAGGAACAAGCCTGTATGTTTTAGTCAAGGAGCAACCTCCAAAACAGCTCTGTGTTTGTGGAGGAGTGTCCTGGTGTACCTGTGCTGAGCCTAGAGCTGCTTGTGCAGGAGCTGTGTGTATGCAGTGGCTGATGACAGTCTTGTGGTGGCTGCCGGGGACCTTCAATCTATGTTTCACACTTGAGCATCTTTCCATCTTCAGAGCTCTGCCCTTCTGCTAATTAATCCACCAACTCATTTCACATGGGCTGTTGAGCAGTTGGTAATGTGTTCGACAGCTTTATCAGTGGGGTGGGTGTGGAGGGACTTGGAGGTTCTCTCCTGCTGCTGTCCTGAGAAATGTGGAAACACGTGTGAAACGTTGATGAAAGAAGGATTGCCCCATCCTCACAGCAGGAGCAAGTTCTCTGAGTTGCTCACTAGCCTCCCCCCCCCCCCAAATGTGACTTCATGTGCTTTGATTAATGCCTGTCGTCATCTTCTTTTTTAATGATGGATTAGGAACCTACCCAACTGGAAGAGTTTCTTCACTGCAGTGACCTATTAAATGTTTAATTACTAGATGGCCCCACCCTTATTAAGAGTCCAAAACTTGAAAGCCTTGTTTCTTAGGGTTTTTTCCTCTTGCATTCCCCAAGGTGACAGCGTTAAGGAAACTTGTGTCTCACTTTCCCCACTTTGGGAGTGGATGAGTGAGGCTGACCCACCTTGCTCTGCTAGGAGGGATCAGTGGGGGCAGGCAGTGAATCTCGAGTCTTGGCTGACAGGATGCTTTGCTGTAGCTCATCTGAGTTTGTTTGGAGCTGAGTTGTGTTGGATTAGGTCATGGGAGAGCAAAGGCCTGGCGGCCTGGATGGAAGACTTTGGTTATTTCCTCTGAAAAAGCAAAGGTGCTTTGGGAGGGTTAGAGGTCTGTGAAGATGCTTCAGGCTTTTTGGTGCTTAGCTTCTGAGGGAAAAAATGATCTGAAATCAGACATAGATCCCAGGGCTATTTCTGGAAGTGGGAGAAAGGGGGGAGGGAAACCTAGGTCTCTGCGAGCAGCCCCAAATTCTACTCGTACCCCTCCAAACCTGTTTTGTAGTATGGTGATGTTTTCTTTGGGGCAGGTTTATTTTCACAGGGCAGAGGACACCCTGTGCTGAGTCAGCGCTGTTCGTGTAGGATAAGCTGGGGAAGAGATGAATGTAACACTGGGAGGGCTGCTTCTCTGCTCAGGTTTGTGATGGGCTCCTAACTCAAGGGGAGAAGGAGCTGGCCAAAAACTGCAGAGAAACACCAGTTGCTGCTAGGTGAGAGTGATTTCTTATGCATGAGCAGTTTGCTTTGAAAATATTGCAGATTTTCTCTGTGAAATCTTTCATGACCTTAAGTAGGAATTCCAGTAAAACATGCTGTCTAATCAGGTTAGCTGTTCATTTGTATGCAACGTTGAACTAATTAATGATGACAAATTGAGATTGGATTGCGGAGGACTTTATAAGCATCCTTGATTATTTTTTTTTAATTAATGACCTGAGAACACAAGAATATAACCAAGTTAATCAGTCTTTTCAGAAGGAAAATTTTAACGATTGCCACTCTCTTTCAGTCTTTAAAAACAAAAGCCTTGGTAATCTAAACTGAACAGAGCTTCTCACATGCATGCAGGGGTTGGGGGAGCTCTTCCTGCAGTTTAAGCTCGCTGAAAGCCAGTAGTGGATCAAGCAGTTATTGCTTGGTAGGCAGAAGGTCGTTAAGTCTGAGAGAGAAGCCATATGAATTTGGTGAAATTAGGTGAAGCTTATCCAGAACTGTGCGTCATTTATTGTGGGATACTTCCTCTGTGAGAATTCTCATATACCTGGGCTTGTGAGATCTCCTCCCATTTCTGCAGCAGAAGCAAACAAGGCGTTTCAAAAGCGTGCCACCTCAGACTTTTTTTTTTCCCTTTCTGGAAGTAACTTTGTGTGCAGATGTTCCCACCCACTCCAAGTGCAAGTAAATAAATAACTGCACTGGCTTTTCCCACTAAAAAAAGATTTGGCAATCACCTGTTGCTAGCACAGAGCTTGCTATATGACTGCTTGCTTGGAGAAGAACATGGTTGCAGTGGGGAAGATTAAAAAATAAAAATAATTTAAAGAAATAATTATGTCAAGGTTAGTAAAGTTAACATTGCTGCCAAACTCAAGCTATCAAGAAACAAATCAGATCCTCCTATCCCCATAAGCAAGATACCACCTTATAAGTCATGAGACTTTATTAAAGGCAAACAGGTTCTTCGGATGTTCCCTCAGGTTTTTGAGCCTTTAGGGTGCATCTATTAAATCTTCTGAAGCATTTCTGGGTAGTCACGAGAGTAGAGGAAAAAGAAGGCAAAAGTAGCTTTAAGTTTTTGCATGAAAACCAAAATTTGTTTGTGATTGTTTTTGATTTTGCTGAAGAAAGCCCTGCAAGACTTGCATAATGGGAGTGTTGGCAATAGTTGAGCATAGCAGTTTTTTCTCATGCCCTGCAGTAGGTTGGAGCTGAGCAGGGTTGGTCCTTGCAGAGCTTTGTTATGAAACACAGAGCTCCACAAAGTTGCAATCCGTGTTCCAGTCAGGCACTTTGGTTCTCCTGTGCTCAGTAAACTTGATTGTACCTCAAGTTCTATTAAAGCGTTTTGATTTCAGACTCTTAGCTGTCAAGGCGAGGTGACAACCTGTGCAACATGCAAGAAAGCAAGTAAATGCATTGTGCAGTCTGGGGTTAGTAGATTCAGAAGGGTTTTGTTCTTAAGGTGAAAGGAATGTGCTTAAATTAGTCCCTGCTAGGAGTAACAGGTTTCTGTGGTTGAGAGTACAGATTCCGTGGCTGGTCTATCTCAGTCGTCTTATTTCGATTTGATTTATTCCACTTCTGCTTTAAAAAAAACAAAATTTTGTCCTGAATCACCTGGTATAAAATGGGAAGCTTCATTTCCCTTCTATAAAATGAATTGGAGGATGATGTCCGTGGGGATAG